TTGCCTGGACTTAAATTGTAGAATCAGTCTCCCTCACCTATCCTGCCACTGATGCCTTCTTTGCTCAGTTTATTATTTCTCGTATTTATTTTTTTAACCTGGAATCCTAGGGGCTCATGCCTGGGTCTGCATGGCTTCGTGATCAGCCAATGGTTGGATAGAGGTCATGCCCAGACACCTAGCGTTTGTAGGGTTCTGTTTATTGGTCTGTGAGTAGATTGGAAAATAAACACAAAGTTGCAGCCAATTCTCATTTCTCATTCCTTTACTTGTACGTGGGGCTCTTGCAGGTTTCTCCACCACATACATAGATTTCCAGTCAGCCTGGCATATGTGAGAGCATATTTCAGTGCTCATTGCCGGGGTTTCCCTGTTAAATATCTGATCCGTTCACCTCTATCCCAAACGGGGAACAAAACATCAGGTTCACAAAGCTGCAGACTTTACCCATTTATTCCCACATCAGTCCCCCACTTTTCACTTTCTGTTGTTTGTTTTGTTTTTCTCTCTTGGTTTCTGTTTATTGTGTGTTGTCTCCTGGGAATTGTTTTTATTATTAAACGACAGGCATTGTATATGAAAAAGCAGAAAGATAATTTCATGTTCTGGGTGTTGCTATCTTTTTCCATCAAGGCTTTAGCTTTGCTTTTGGCAGGTGTTTAGATAAAGACAGATCACCTTAATCTAATCTGGAACCAGGCTGTGACAAATATACGCAATGGAATCTTACGTGTTGCGAAAGCATGGATGGACCCAGAGGGTGTTATGCTAACTGAAATAAGTCAGACAAAGACAAATACCATATCATTTCACTTATATGTGGAATCTAAAGAACAAAACAAACAAACAAACAAAATAGAAACCGAGTCAGAGATACAGAGAACAAACAGACTGATGGTTGCCAGAGGGGTGGGGGGTTGGGGGCTGAGTAAAAAGGTGAAGGGATTAAGAAGTACAAATTGGTAGTCACAGAATAATCACATTGAGGTGTAAATGACAGAAGAGGAAATATAGTCAATAATGTCATAATAACAATGTATGGGGCCAGGTGGGTACTCGAAATATTGGGGGGACCACTCCGTAAAGTACATCATTTTCTAACCACTATGCTGTACACCTGAGGCTAATACAGAATAATATTGAATGTAAGCTATAATTGAAAACTAAAACAAACAAGAAAGCCCGGCTTTAGTGTTTTTGGAGGCTGGTCTGTTTCAAGTGCATCCCTACTCCCAGGGTCTAGTCTTTGAGTCCCAGCTGAAAGCCCGGGACATTTCCCGCAGCCCCTCCTCCTGACGGGCATGGAACTCCAGTATTTCCCCACCTCCGTGGAACTGCCTGAAGCTTCACAGCTCATCAGCCTCCTACCTGCTGATATCTGTGGCCTGTGATTTGGCAAATGCTTCAAGGGTAAAAACAGCATCAACTGTTGGGCTTACTCTCTTTACTTCTCTTTGGCTCTGGACCCCTCAAATTCTTGCTGCATTTATGACTCTGAACAGCTTCTCTCTCTCTATCTCTCTATCTCTCTCTACCCCCTCCCTTCCTTCCCTCCCTTCTCCTCAATGTGGAAATGCAAAATAGACTGTCTGCAGAGGAAAGAAGTAAGGCCCAGCATAGTTCAGAATAGTTGCAGGAAAAAAAATGTAAGGATCCATCAACTGTCTTCAAAAATAGCCTCTTTGAGCCCCTTTAAAACCTTTTAGAACTGGAGTCAGCAGATAGGATCTCTCAACCCAGCCCCGACTCTCTAAAATATTTTTTCCCTTTTGCTGTTATAAGAGTATACTAATAATCACATCTGCCTCCCTGGATTGTTTTGATGGTGAAGCAATATCACCGTTTACCAAAATTCACCTGTTTCAATATATACTTTGCGTAGGCAGTGGGCTAGATCTTCTGCTTATATTATTTCTTTTTTTTTCTGCTTGTATTATTTCATTTAAAATTTGTATAGAGTTCTGAGTAAGCTCGCTATCATAAAAAACTTTTTTTATAAGAAAACAACTACATACCTCAGGGGACCAGTGGCTTTCTTTGTGGAGCAGTGTTTTATTGCTCAGTCCGGAGCCTGGAGGATGAGAGGTGCTGAGTGCGACGTGTCTCAGACCAGGGGACAGTTGGCTGCTGGCATCTGTGTTCCTCTGTCTGTGAAGGTCCTGGTAAAGCCCAGGGAAGAAGTGTGGTGGCGGCAGCAGCCTGGTAATAGAGGCCAGTCCCAGGGTGCCCTGGGGTCCCTGGGGCTAAGGGCTACTGCCAATGAGATGCCACCCTCCCATTCACCTTGATGACCGCTTTCTGTCGCAGCCTAGACCAGGCACCGGTTGGCAAACAATGACCCATGCACCCGAGTCAGCCTTCCACCTGTTTTTGTAGGACCTGTGAGCCGAGAATGGTTTTGACATTTTTAGATTCATGTCTTTTTCCACGTGGATGTCTAGTTGTTCCGGGACCATTTGCTGAACAGACATCTTTTCTCCATTGCATTGCTTTTGTTCTTTTGTCAAGGATCAGTTCACTCTATTCATGTGGGTTTTCAGGGCTCTCCAGTCTGTTCCATGGGTCTAGTTGTCTATTCCTTTGCCAATATCACACTGTCTCGATTCCTGCGGCCGGAGACTACGTCTTGCAGTTTCGTAGTGTCAGTCCTCCGACTGTTCTCCTCCTCCCACTGTTGGCTATTAAACTTCAAAACCAGCTTGGTGATACTCACAAAGGCTTTTCCCTTTTCTGTAGCGGGGAACAATTTTAAAAAGAATATTTCGTGACACATGAAAATTTTATGAAATTCGAATTTTACTCTTCATAAATGAAGTTACTGTGTTTACATATTGTCTCTGGCTGCTTTTACACTGCAGCAGCAGAGCTGAGTGATTGTGAAAGAGACCGTATGGTCTGCAAAACCTAAAATACTGACTGTCTGGCTTTTTACGGGGAACGTTTGCTGAGCCCTGGTCTAGAGTTGGGCTGGGACTTACCTCGCTGGTTATGAGCATGGCCCATGAACCAGACCGCCCATTTCCAATCTTGCCATCATCATTTGCTAACTGTGTCACCTTAAAATGCTGCTTAACCTTGCTGGGCCCTTACCACTAAAGTGGGATTAATAGTATTTAGCTCATAGAGTCGTTAGGTTCCATGAATTATTTCATGTAAGTGTTGGCTACCATACAGATTATTATCCTGGCTTAAAAAGAATGTTACCAAAATAGTCTCCAATCTCTGCCCAGCTAATTCATCTGCCTCACTACGCCAAGTGATGATCATGAAATACGCCTTAGCACTCATCTCTTCAAAGACCGCTCCTGGCTTGCTATTGCATGGAGTGGCCTGGCATTTGCAGATCCACAGCCCCTCTGCTGTCTGTCTGGGAAGCCTCATCCACCGCCTCCCCTCCCCCACCCCTCCAGTTACAAGCCCTGTGCTCGGCCTTTCCCAGGGCTCTGTGCTTGTCCACACCTCGGCGCCTTCCCATCATGTGGCTCTTTCTGCCCAGAAACCTTCTACTGGGAATTTCAAAAGGGTCGCTGCAATCTGCGGGCAGGCGACAGCCATCATTCCTGTTATGAGCTCCAGCATAGAAACCAGTGCCCGACCTCCCAATGGACCCTCTTGCTCCTCATCAAACTCCAGATCACTTCTTTTCAGGGCCAACAAGTAAAGCTGCAGAAGAAGGCCGGGGTGGGAAGAAATTCAGCCCTGTTCCCCAAGTCAGACCACCCTCTGGCATTGCCCAGTGCCCTTGGGGGTCTCACATGGTAGGGCCTTACATGGTAGGACCTTACATGGTAGGACCTTACATGGTAGGGCCTTACATGGTAGGGCCTTACATGGTAGGGCCTTTCATGGTAGGGCCTTACATGGTAGGACCTTACATGGTAGGACCTTACATGGTGGGACCTTACATGGTAGGGCCTTTCATGGTAGGGCCTTTCATGGTAGGACCTTACATGGTAGGGCCTTACATGGTAGGGCCTTACATGGTGGGACCTTACATGGTAGGGCCTTACATGGTGTCCAGAGCAGGGAACTGGGTGGGAGAAGTCAGAGGAAGCAAGGGACCAGATCTCTGATTCACATCAGTATCATAAATGCATCATGATTATGTAACAACATGAAAAATGCTTATTAAAGGGAGTTTGCAGGAACAAAATTGCATCCACATTAACTACAACTGAATGAAAAGTGTGCCTGATTGGAGCCCGATGGTGAACTTGAGAGTGTCAGCACATGACATCACTTTTGGTTGTAGGAGTAGTGGCACTGTGGGTGATTATTTTGTTCCTATATTTAGAGTGCTGTACTATACTATTATTTGTATATTTAAAAGGTCAATGCTTTATGAGAAAACACATTAATTTGTACACTTAGAATAAATCTATTTTTTAAAACTAAAAAAAAATGTTTTAAAAGACTGCCCCACAGTAAGCTGGGATGGATAGTGTCTTTGCCATCTCCCTACCTGACTTTTCTGCCCCTTCACCTGCATTCAGCAAGACCCCTCGAGACAGCCCCTGCCCAGCCATTATGCACAGTTGTGGCTGCTGGGAATCCCTCAAGGAGCCCTTCTCCTAAGCTCACTTCACTGGTGAGACTGTTCCAGAATGGCCTTCACCTCCCTGCTTTGTCCTGGCTCCCCAGACAACACAGCTATTTGTCTAACATGACCTTCCTCGAGAGTTCTGCCTTTTGCTAAGGAGCTAAAAAGGAAACTGCCGTGATGTGCCTGTGCACGATATAGAGTCATTGCTGACCCCTCTCAGATAACACTTTTGTTATTTAACCGGGGGATTCTGCTCTAATCGGCTGCCTTAATGGAAGTAGGGTGTTCCAAACAATGGAGGTGATAGTTGGAGGAATGGAATCTAGACTTTCCTAACACAAGGGATGTTACTAAGCTGGGCACACAGCTAGGGCTGGGAGGAAGGGCAGGCAATATGCAAATCTGGGTGGGAGTTAATTCCAGATAAATAACCTGAACTATTTTTGCTTTATTTTAGGGACCACCCAGGCCCATTCCTTCTCTGGAGAAAATGCATTGGAAGAGCAGCTATGGCCAGAGGTAAGGGCTCTGTCCTCTTTGAGGGATAGGGGTCTCTTCCAGTGGGTAAATCCAAGTCTTTAAAAAAAAATATTTTTATTGATTTCAGAGATGAAGGGAGAGGGAGAGAGATAAAGAAACATCAAAGATGAGAGAGAATCACTGATCGGCTGCCTCCTGCATGCCCCCTTCTGGGGATCGAGCCTGCAACCCCGGCATGTGCCCTGACAGGAGTAGAACCATGACCTCCTGGTTCACAGGTCGATGCTCAACCACTGAGCCACACTGACCGGTCATAAATCCAAGTCTTGATGCAAGTTGGCAGGTCCCTGCCTTGAGGGAATGAGCTGGGTCAGCTGCTGCCCCCAGGGATAGCCTGGCTGCCAGGCAGGCCAAGGGCAGCATGACTGTATCTTCTGGAATTTGGGGCTCATCAGTCCTGCAGACCGAGTGGGTGGTTCCCAGAAGTGTCCAGAATGCGTTATAAATGGGCTGTTATCTCCGTGAACCTTGAAGCAGATGCTGTGAGTTATCTGAAGGCATCTGGGTTAGGTCTTCCCAGAACATCCACAAGATAAGAGTTGAGAGTAAATGCTTTATCTCTTACTGCAATCAGTAATTCAAGAGGAATTAACTTGTGTCTTGTGATAGTGAGAGATGTGGCCAAGGAACTCATTTACTGCACGTTTTCCCCCTGTTGGAGTAGAGTGAGTCCTCACTTAACGTCGTTGATAGGTTCTGCGGTGAAACGACCTGTAATGACACTGGTTTTACCAGAGACTAATTGCTCTAGACAAGAGTTAAGTTTCTATGGCATCTCATCCATGTTAGAAGTTGAGTGAAATGACTTTATTTAAGGACCTGCCGTATTTCCTCCGCCACTTTCAGTTCTGGGGAGAAAACATGTGATCTCCCTTCCCAAAGCCATTCATCTGATTCACAGAAGCAGATGCTCTGGACTCCGGGGAGCATCTGAGGAGGCCTGAGTGGCCTTGAGGACCCGAGCACTGGCCACCCAGTCCCTCCTCTGCTTTCAGCAGCCCTCTGGGCTCAGGACACGCCAATCTGGTGAAGACTCAAGTCTCCAGTTTCAAGTTTACCCAGTTTCCAGGAGCATATAAACATAGTGCTCCAACTACCTGCTTTTGTGTAAATCATCAAATTAAATGAGAGAAAGTAGGTAATACAAATAAATATATCGTAAATGGATTTTCAAGTCTTTTAGTCTAGGCACAGTGGGTCTCTTCTTAATTCATTTTATTTTATTTCTTTTTTTATTGTGGTAAAAGGTACATAACATAAAATTTACCATTTTAATCATATTGAATGTATCATTCAGTGGCATTAGGTACATTCACATTGTTGCACAACCATCATTACTGTCCACCTCCAGAACTTTGTCATCATCTCAAGAATTGATTTTTATGCTCCCTTTTTCTCCATCCCACTTTTTGGACGCACCCTTACCTACCACCTGCTAAAATCATCAAAAAACACATGTCCCTTTGTACTAGGTCAGTGGTCAGCAAACTCACTAGTCAACAGAGCCAAATATCAACAGTACAACGATTGAAATTTCTTTTGAGAGCCAAATTTTTTAAACTTAAACTATATAGGTAGGTACATTGTTATTAATTTAATTAGGGTACTCCTAAGGCTTAGGAAGAGCCACACTCAAGGGGCCAAAGAGCCGCATGTGGCTCGCAAGCCGCAGTTTGCCGACCACTGTACTAGGTGAACGGTAGGGGATTAGTAAGACCATGACTGTGGACAGTTGTTGCTTCTGGACTTTGACTCTAGATAGAACAAGTACATGCTCGTTTCTACACCAGGCTTTCAGGACCTGCAGGGTTTCCATTCAAGGCAGTTGATGTTTCTGATGTTTGATTTCAGTTGCAAAGCCTGAAGAATGTTCCATTTGTGTGCAACCCAAAGAAGCCAGGACCCAACGTGCCTTCGGAGTCAGGTATGTGACCCCTGAGCCGTGACTCTGGTGTGGCCAACAGAGGCTCCAGCCCTACTTCCCTTGTACCTTGGTGATTCAAGTCTTTCCTCTTTCCCATCCCTAGTCCCTCACACCTTCTCCTTTCCCCCTCATCTATTTCTACTGTCAGACAGTCTGACACACCAGTCAGAGATAAAACCAACAGGACCCCACAGTGGCTTGGCTGATGAGGGCAGCCTCCAGGAGAGCCCACCAGACAGTGTTATGGGAACTGTTATACAAGGAGTGTAGGTAGGAAAGAAATCAATGCATTTCTTAGGAAATGGCTTCTTTGGGAGCCCATTATATGAAAGGGGTTTCTAGGGAGACTGAATTCTAGAAATGCTGGTAGCCCAGATGGTCAAGGAGGCTTCCTGGTATACCATTTGATACAGCCTGCATCCAATGTTTACGTCTGTTCATAGGCTTTGAGTGCTGTTCTCTGGCAGTCTTCAGGCCAGTATGATCCTTTGTGTACCCAAATGGTTTTCATTTTAATGTTTTGTCCTCTTATTAATGGTGGTTCAGAAATAGAGTCATGGGATAGGTGAGAGGGAAAATGAGGCCCATAGTGACCTTCCATGGGACACCTTTTGGAGATCCTGAGTTCAGTTAAAAGTGTGGCCTCCAGAGAGGAGTGAGCCTCTTTCGAGCAGGTTCCTAGGGCTCCCAGCCACCGCCTGGTCTTCAGCTCTCCACTCTCGTGGCTCAGCTTTAACAGCTGTCCTCAGACTGGAGGACAGGGGTCTGCCCCTTCCATTTAGCATCCTTGGCCCACCTGTGGGGACTGTAGACCTGACCCTCTTCCCTGGGTTCTTGTCATTGCAGTCCACTCTCTGAGACCTTCTGATATTAAATTCGTGGCAGCCATTGGCAATGTGGGAACTGTGAGTATTTTGAGGGGATGGAGGTGGGAGACAGGGATTGGGATTGTTTTATAAGGAGTGTAGGTAGAAAAGAAATCAATGCATGATTTCAATGAACCCTCGGAATGAGTTCATGGTAACCAGGTAGAGAGATTATTGTCTAAAACGGGGAAATCCTAAAACCTAGGGGGCTCTGAGTCTTTTTTTTTCTTTAATTAAATGAGTGCCCCCCTTTATGTTCGGGTGAGGAAACTTTTGGAGTTTCTCATTGGTAAATGAAACCCATTGATAAATTAAGTGGCAGATTACACAGACTTTTTAAAAAATAATCTCTTAAGCTTTCTATTTGTGACATAAAGAAAAAAAATCCTTATCTATTTGGTAAATTAAAAAAAAAATACATCTATTCTTGCTAACACATTTTAAGGGTTATATTTTCCGTGGTCAGAAGGAGAAAGATAGAGAGGAAGGAGCACAGAGAATGAGACATCTGGAGAGAATAGGGTTGGAGGGCAGAGCGAATGCCAATGGGTTTCCCCACCCTGGCTTTCCACAATCCCCCTGCCCTTAGGAAAAGCCCACTGCCCTGCTGCCCACCTCCAATGCCAGTGGCCCCCACATGGACAGACAGACCACTTAGCAGATGTTCTCTGCTCTGCCCCAGGGCCCTGCTATACTCCCCGCACCTGAACCAGGACATTCCTGTCCCTCCAGTGTCTTCTTCCCACCTCTGCCCACCGTCTCTCTTCCAGCGTCCCTCCCCGTCCCTGCTGCAGGCTGTGCTCCCTGCAGCCTCAGCCTCTCCCCCTCGCTGCCGGCCCCAGCCCACTACTCCATGCACAGTGGCAGCTGTGTGCAAAGTGTGAGACTTCACTTAGAAACTGACCACAGACCCAGTGAAATCGGCAAACAGAGGCCCCGTCCTCTTTGCCTCTAGCTGTGCTGGTGGTGGCAAAGCTGCGCGTGTGACGTGTGTGTGTGTGTGTGTGTGTGTGTGTGTGTGTGTACTGGGGTGAAGCTGGAGGTTTACTGCTGGGAGAGCTGGGAGAGGGAAGATGGTGAGAAAAGAGGTTTCGTTTCACGGGTAGCACACTGACTTCGCTGAGCCGTGTGCCCTGCATGCTGATGCTCGCATTCCAGAGCCTGAATGTGTGACACTCGCTGGAGGACTCGTAGTCTTCCACTTTGGGCAGGAAATTCACTGCAGGAAAATCACTCCGAGTCAGGCTTCCGTAGTCAAGCCAATCAGCGACTTCAGTCTTTGGTCTCAGCTCTGAAAGGCTCCGTATTCATGAATTATTCAGACCCCCAGCTCCTGCCTGTCACTCAGCGCATCCTTTCTCCTTCTGTGAGCCCGAGGCCCAGATACAGCTTCAGTCCAGGATGGTGTCCCAGAATCATTATCATCACACTGACGGGCACCTCCACCTGCAGAATAAAACCTGTCTGCCGGAGAGCTGGCTCTTGTGAGCTGAGCCTGGTTATAAAAAGTCAGGCCTGGGAAAATAAGGCAGGGAATTTAACGGGAAAAGTCCATCATGTGGACACTTTTGCTTTGAGTTCCCGGAGATTTCTGTAACCAACGCACAAACACTCACCTGTGACAGGAACCAGCACTTGTTTGTTTAACTGCTCTGGACTCCCTTTTCCTCATAGAACTTTAAATATCAGATTTGTAAATGTAAAAACTGTTTTCAAACTAACACTTGTGGTACATGTTTCATATAAGTACAAATCAACCACAACACACACATAGAGTGTAAAATATTGAAGACCCCATTCACAGCTCCTATTCCTCTGCCTCAGGAGAGGTACACACACAGCACACACATGCACATGCACACACGCATGCACATGCACACGCAGCACACACAAGTGCACACACATGCACACACTGCACACACACGCATGCACATGCACACACATGCACACACCTTCCATTTCTCCGGGTTCTGCCCCATGTGCTGTGGAGGGAGCCTGCCACTCTTCCTCCCTGAAAAACTGGCCTGGGTGATGTGACCTTCCTCTAGATCCGTGTTTCCCTGTTAGTCAGTGGGAGAGGCTGTCTGACGGGCAGCTGGGGCCTCAGGAGGACAGGCTGGGCTGCCTTCCCGGCTGGAGTGACACCTGCTATCTTTTGCAGCTCCCAGACCCGGGGATGGCCGGTGCGGAGAAGCAGCCATGGTAACTATGTTGGAATCACTGAGCAGTGGAGCTGGGCGAGCCTCAGAGGGCCTTGCTCCGCCCCTTTCGGAGCAGGTGTCCCTTAGGAGACCCCAGTCTCCTGCCTCTCAGTCCACACTCCCCATGCCTGTGAATCCCCTGGGAGGAAAAGCAGGAAAGGCCACACACTGGATTCTCGCTTCCCACCACCATCCAGGCTCCCTGCTCTCTCAGGGGCAGCATGCAGGGTGGGCCAGGGTCTGTCTCATTCTTCCCGGGGTCCGCAGCCCCTTCCAGCCGGAGGTGTGGGGAGAAGGGCCCAGATGGAGCTGTGGGCCCATTTGGGCGACTCGTTGCCATCTGAGCTGTGTCTCCAACTCCAAGAAGGACAATCACAGAAGCGGAGCCAGGCTGAGCGGAAGCTTGTCAGGAGACAGACCCCAGAGGCCAAGGGGGTAGCTGGCAGGTGACAAATCCAGTCTGACACGTGCATGTTTGCTTCTGCTTGCAGGGTTAGGAGGAGGCCACAGCAGGCGTGCATGGGAGTGGTGACAGGTGAGTCCTGGGCATTCGGGGCCAGATCCCAGCTTGCCCCACCCCTCCCGACACAGCACATCTTGGTAAATGAAGAGAATGTGCCCTATTGGCCACTTTGTTGTGGAGCCTGAGGAGAAAGGGAGAGGACAGTCGCAAACCCTGAAAGGAGGGCGTGAGGAATGTGTCTGAGGGTCTCTGAGCAAAGAGACGCCAGGAGGCTTTGGTGGGTAGGGGACGTGGGAGAGGGGTCGGGCGGCTGGGCCAGAGTCCTGAGCCTCCTTCTCCCCCACCCCCACTGGCCCCCAGAGCTGGACCAGTAGCACTTCATCTGCAGGAACTGCCCACCCCCCACCAAAGGAAGGGGCCTGGTCTAATTTTCAGCCTATTTCATTTTGTAATAACTCCTATAGCTATAAATATACCAATTGGATTCAGAAAAAAAAATGAAAATCAACTATATCCCACCATCTGGAGATAATCGTTGTTAACATTTGGGCTCTTTTACATATGAATGTGCTTCTGATATGCTATCTGTAACCTGTTTTTTCATTTAACATCCGACACCCCTTGTGACTCTATTAAAAGTCATCCTGAAACCTCAAGTCCCTTAACGCCAGCTGAGCTAGCTCGTGGGATGTTAGAATCAATGACAAGGAAACCGCCATTCCCTCACAATTAGAGCTCGGAGCTCGGACGCAGTGCGTGCGCTCTGCTGAGCTGACCTCCTGAGAGCAGTGCAGTGAGGTGGCCGGTGCTCTGCCAGTGCAGCCAGGAGATTCCCCACCGGCCTGGGAGGTACTAGGCTTCCTGCAAAGGATGGGGCTGAGGAAGGCACTGGGCCTGCCTTCAGCCTCGCCCTCCAGCAGGGGAGGTGGAGACCTGGTGCTCAGCCTCCAGGATTGATTGACAGGTGAGGGGCTACTGGTGGCCAAAGTGGTGGGAGGGTCCCTTGGAAAGGGTCAGAGGTTCCGAAAGAGGAGGCCCCGGCAGACTGGGTGACTGTCACAGCTCTGCCTAGGTTTGGCCCTGTTTACCCTTAAATGGGGTGGTGGTATATTTGTGGTGTCTGGGAAGACAGAGTGTAGTTTAGATCCTGAAACCGCAAACACAGGGGCGTTGCCTGGTTCCTCAGTTTGCTTCCGTTTTGTCCTTGCCCACCGGGTACCAAGTCCTGGTACCAGCAGAGGGGCCAGGAGGAGGTGCCACAGAAGGTAGGGCAGTGAGGACAGATCTGGCCTCTGAATGTCCTCAGAGGCAGGACTCCCCGGAGCTGCCAGTGAACCCAGCCCACGTGCAAGGCAGGGCAGGGCGGGCGGAGTGGAGGGACCCCTTCCCTGTCTGTGGCCTGCACAGTGCGGCTCCTTCAGAGGGAGCCCTTCGGATTCTGCTCCCACGAAGCCCCCGGCACTTCTGGGTGGGGGCGGAAAGAGGGGAGGACTGGAGAGGGAAGTGTATGGGGGCATCTCCCTCCCATGACACTCTCCCCGCTCTGCCCTCTCCTCTCTCGGGAGCAAGTCAACGTAACTGCTCCTGGCAGCGCTATTTTTAGCGGTCCTCTGGCTGTCAGCTCTGGGACACGGTCTCCGATCTCCGATCTCCGTTCCCCAGAGCGTTCCCACCGGCTGTCACTCTCAGGAGAGAGGGGCCGGGAGACAGCGGCCCAGGTCCCTGTCCTGCACACTTTCCCCGCGGGTCCATGCCACGCAGCTTCACTTAGCCTGGGGACCGTCGCTTCTCTCAGCCTGTTTCCCCGTCACTCATGTAAGATGCTTAGTACGGAGCCTGGCCTAGCGCTGGGCAGATGTTCATCTTTAGCTCCATTTGCTTCCGCTTCCGGGGGCCTGCGATGAGGTTGACCTCACGGCCCCAGGCAGGTGTGAAGGTCTTGGTTTGGAAGAGGGTCAGCGACCCTGGGCACCTCACCCCAGAGGGACAGTCCCTACAGGTGACCTGCAGCCGTCAGAGCCGCAGCCCTCAGACCAGCCCTCCCTTTCTTTAGTCCTTTCAGACATCATCAAACACTTCAATCCCTCTGTTCTGAGGCCTGTGTGCACCCCTGGGAGGAAAGTGATACCCCACATTGGTGCTGAGTAAGTTCCTTTCCTGGCTCTCTCCTGGGTAGGGACATTGGGGAAGGGGGGACCTGGGAAAGTCAAAGGGGCTTAAAAATAGAGGTCTGTGTTAAGCCAGAGCCAAATTGCATCTCCTGCGCCGATTTAAGTCTACCTGATGGGCCTAATTTTAAAAATCAGGACCCGGTCTGCCCTCCAGAACCAGGGCTGGTGCCGTGTAGCCTTGGACTTGGAGACGGGCTCCTGGGTGGGGGCGAGGGGCCAGCTTCCAGCCCTGGACAAAGTGATATTGAACTGGTTTCCTCTCCGCTCGCCTCCCTCTGTGCAGAGACTTGTGGATTCAGGCAAAGGAACTGGTGAGGAGCATGAAAAAGAACCAGGTAAGAACCCACCTGGCTCTGTGCCTGGGGCTGCCCGTGTCTGTGCGAGGCAGTCAGACCGAACACGCCAGGCAGCCAAGGCCCTGCGGCCACGCTGCCCTGAACCAGCCACCAGGGAGGCCTGGGCACTCCGAATATGCCCTTCCTGGCGGCCGTCAAAACACAGGGCCACTTTGTCACCTGCACCGTGGTGTTCTGTGTGGTCCTGCCATCCTGATGGACTGCACGACTTCGCACTCAGGGAGGTGGTTGAGAGCGTGGGTTCCTGAGGGAGACCCGTTTAAGTGGGAATCCTGAATTCTCCACCTATTCGCTGTATAAAGTTGGGTAAGGCGCTCAACCTCTCCGAGCCTCCGTTTTCCCATTTATGAAATGGGCATCATAAGAGACAGGAGCACAGGACTGAGGAAGATTCAATGAGGTGTTGGGTGCGCCTGCAGCTGTCATTGTTGTGGGAGTGGCGATTGTTATTCTTGTTAATTACCGTGTTTGTTTTAATTCTGAGGTGGAGGCCTCTGTAACACACCTGCCAGGGCCCTGGGACCCACCTGGCTGTACCCAAGCGCTGAGCCTGGACAGCTGGAGCCAAGGGCAGCCGCTGTCTCGGTCGGCAATGCGTTCACTAAAAGAGCTCAGGCATGAGAGCCAGGCCATTGCAGGTTACAGGCTCAGGGCAGACGCCGGAGATATGCCGTAAAGAGCTGTTTGCCTTAACAAGGGAATCCCAGAATTTCTGGAATAAACACAACATTCTGGAAAATAGCTGGGAGGTCTTGAATCCAAGCCCGAAATTTTACAGATGAGGATACTGAAGTCCGAGGAATTCACGTGACCTGTCCAAGTTCACACAGCTAATTGGGGCGAAAATCTGAAGTTGCTGAGTCACAGTCTTTCGTGCTTCAACTGCATCATGCCGCCTCTTAAAGAGCAAAGCAAATGTTTATTTTTTTTGTTATGCAAGTGACACATGTTTATTACAGAAAAATCAGAAAACGCAGATAAACAAGAATAGTAACCAGAGATCATTGCTGTTGACAACTCAGTGTACATCCTCTTCCGTATTTTTTCAAGGCACATTTATTCCAAGCACATGTGTATAGTTTATAAAACTAGGATGTTACTCGATGTAGATACTTTTATAACGGCTTTTTTAAGTGTGGTATTTTCCATGACAATAATTACATTTTCTAACACCATTTTAGTAGCTACACAGTGTTTCATCTTTTTAAAAATATATATTTTTTATTGATTTCAGAGAGGAAGGGAGAGGGAGAGAGAGATAGAAACATCAATGATGAGAGAGAATCATTGATAGGCTGCCTCCTGCACACCCCCTACTGGGGATTAAGCCCGAAACGCAGGCATGTGCCCTTGACCAGAATTGAATCTGGGACCTTTCAGTCCTCAGGCCGACACTCTATCCACTGAGCCAAACCAGTTAGGGCAACACAGTGTTTCATCTTAGAAGTGTTTGACAATTTGTGCAGCAATCCTCTAAATTAGACATCTATGTTGTTTCCAGTTTTTTGCTGTTATAAACAAGACTTCATCGTTGCAGCTAAATCTTTCATGTATTCTTATTTCCTTAAAATATGTTTTGGGAAATGGAATTGTTGAATCAAAGGTATGCCCTTAAAAATCTTTCAACTATATTTTGCCAAGTTGCCTTCTATATCAGTTATAGAGTTTGAGTTTCCCACCACATAATTCTCTTTTTGAAAAAATATATAATTATGATTTTATGGGGGTGGGTGAGTGAAATTGAAAGATATGAAAAGAAAGCCCTTTTGGTATCAGGTCTTACTACTATCGCTTTTTCATGCTGTTGCCTTTTTCTTCAGGAACTTGACTTTCAAAATGACTGGAAGCTAATCAATGTGTTCTTCAGTAACGCAAACCAGTGTCACCTGTGTCCCTCCACCCAACAGGTAAACCACAGGCTGGGGGTCAGAGGGATTGCAAATGCCAGGGTGGGGGCAGAGCGAATGAACTAAACCTGCCTGTTCTACACCTGGGCTGGGCCTGATGGCACCTTTTTCAGGGGATGGATGGATGGATGGATACCTAAATATTCAAGGAACCATATATAGGGAAAGGTATTTTACCATCTTTGATATCAGGTAAAGGAAATGGAGGTATAGATAAGCAGAGTCAATGATCATTCTACAACTGAGAAACATCAGCCCCCTAGTTAAAAATTGTTTTGCCTCTCTTAACTCTGATGTCATTTAAGTACTGAATTTAGGAAATAAAACAGGATGTGTACTCTTGTCATCACCTCTTGAACTGTAGTTCCCCATGAACTCTAGCGGTAATGGGAAGCCTACTGTTAATGCCCGTAGACCATCCTCCAGGCTCTTTAGCACTCCTGGATGCAGGACATGAAATATGTGACTTCATTTATTATTTCTGTAGGTGGCTATCTAGGACTTGGAGGTCATTCAGGCTAGCATCAGTGAAAGTGTAAGGGGTGACTATGATGATATCAATGGCACACACTCTTCTTCAGGGGCCTGAAGCCTGGTTGCCACCAAGCTGGCCTTGCTACGTGTGGTAGACCAATCACCTGCCCCCGTCCTCTCAGCCACCCTCCAGAGCCTCTGCCAGGTGATGGCACAGGCCTGAGTGAAGTTTCCCGCGGTGCCCTCCTCTGTTCTGTGCCCTTCTTTCACAACTTACACTCTGGCTTTCTTCCAAACGCCCGTGTTCCCACTGACTCCTGGCCCACCACCCAAACCCCCTCCCTCTAGTGATGTTGGGCCCAGAGAATGCACCGAGCCCACCTTGCCTGACCAGCTCTTGTTGAACAGTAGTCCTTGTAGATCTCCTGGGTTTGTGGCATATAGATCTTGAAGGTTTATTGTTCTACTTCACCCTCTGTTTTCTCCCATGCCAAGTGAAATTTACAACCTCTGTTTCTTCTATGCCCTTCTTTTTGTTGATTATGCACAGCAAATTTCTTCATGAATTTACCTATTCATGCATTAAAGTGCTCACACAAGCATTTAAGCATTGCTGCATTCCTCTGTATATCCACTCATTCATTCATCCATCCATGAGTTGTCTGTTTATGCATAAATTCATTTTCTCTTTTTACATGTAGGCATATACTATCGTACGTATGATGAGTTATGTTCACGCTGGCTTTTGTTTGATTTTTCCAATATTTGAATGCATTCATGGATGCTTAAACTCATTCAAGATTTCTTCCATACACTTTTCTCACATTCAATCATTCTTATGTAAATTCTTGCATTCTTTCATGTATTTATGCTCAAAAGCATTCTTAGCTATGTGATGCATTCCTATGTCTGCATGTATCCATTTATTTACTGTTAATAAGTTTGGTTAGATAAACAATGCACAAATGTTTTCTTCTTTTAAAAGACTAAAATGTTACAGCTAAATACCACATCTAATCCTCTCCCTTTTTATTTCCAAGTTTCTTATATATCTACAAATGCTAGTAGTATTTTGCATATGTGTGCATGTGTGTGCATGCAAAAAAGAGAGAGATAGAGATTTAACACAAATAGTATTATGAGCAGTTTTATTACTGACCAAGTATTTTTGACATCTAGTCATATGATGCACATAGATTGAGTTTATTCCTGTCACTTGCTAGATAGTATTCCACTGTGTAAATTTAATAAATTTTATTTTGCCATTTCCCTATTGATGGAGTTTTTCACTATTATAAACTATCTGTCCATTTGCCTGAATATGTGCATTTTTCTAAATAAATTCTGATTTTCAGATTGAAGTATATTAGTGGGTCAACATTAAGTTTAAAGATAGCCACCAAAATTATAAAAATAGAAATAGAATAAACTATAAAATATTAGGTTGATTGCAGGCTGTAAGGTAAGTGTTGGCTCATGATTATTTTTGCTTTGCTTTCTACATAGACATGTGTGATGTGAAACATGTCTTACCCTGTGGGTCATGCTCAAAATAATCTGAAGAAAAGTGCCTAGAGTTGATTCTTAAACATAGACTTGCTAGTCATCAGCTCCATACACTTTAAGTTCTAGTAGGGCCTGCCCAGTCACCTTCCAAAGTACTGAACCCATTTACATTCCTGCCCTGCCCTCCTTAGGACCTGGATTTTCCTCCTGTAAGTGGGCTCCTTTGGTGGGAAGTAGATAAGGGCCTGTGTCCACATTTGTTCTCTGGGGGATTCTTAAGACCAGAGTCATCGAGAGGAAGAGCAGGAGCCATCCATAGGAAAAAATCAGTTAAAAGAAGGGAAAACCTGAAGAAGAAAAAACTCAAAGCCAATGACACTGCAAGAAATCTATCACTTACTTGTTGCAAATGCCTTTAGAAGCAGGGTCTGGACTCTTTACTGCTCTCTAGTTAAAGTCTAGTTTTGTTAATGATTAAAATGGGGGGGGGGGAATCAGTTAAAAGAAGGGAAAACCTGAAGAAGAAAAAACTCAAAGCCAATGACACTGCAAGAAACCTATCACTTACTTGTTGCAAATGCCTTTAGAAGCAGGAGTCAGCATTGGGAGGGTTCGGTGGCAGGAGGCTTCAGGAAACCTGAAAGTGTTTGTACCTTTTGACCGGAGCATTCTTCTGACTGTGAAAGCAAAAGATACAAATAAAAAATGTGTCCTTTCATTTGGAAAAATAAGCTTTTTTCCTGACTTTGGGTTCAAGGAGCAGTTTATTACATGTGACCTTACTGACGAGGGACATTTCTATAAGAGTTTGCTGTGTTCCACTAAGGAACAGGGACAGTTGGTGCCCAAGGGACAAGCATCCCGTACCCGAGGGACTGGGGGGCCCCATTCACTCTGCAGCCGTGTATAAGCACCTTGGCGGGGAGCAGCACGCAGGGGCCCCCAGTTTCCCTGTGGAAGCTCGATGCCCTGAGTGTGGGCAGCGAGGGCCTTTCTACCCAGAGTTCCCAAGGCTCTTCAGAAGGCAAAGTGAGATGCTTAAGGTCATGTTCAGAGAGAGACACACGTCGCCTGAAGAAAATGAGACAGCAGGCTTTATCGCTGGCTACGCCACAGAGTGGGCTCAACTGGCTTCTGGAGGCCAACCTCTCGCCCGCGCGGGGACTTGGGTGGAGAGAGAGTCCCAGTGCGGTCACAGCCGGGTGATTGGCAGCTGTCTCCAGCATCACCGCCTGTGTTCCCCCAGGAAACAGAACAGCTCCTGGGCCTTCCTTGTCTTCCTTCAGGGGACAGCTGATATACAGGCAGCTTGGGAGTTTGTCTAGTAAAGTTTATTTTTGTTTGGTGTGGGGGTTTTTTTTGTTTGTTTGTCTTGTGCGTTTTTACCCTGAAGAGGTAAACCAGGGTCTATGTTTGGCGTGCTCTCATTTGTTTATTTACTTTCATCACCTGCAGGGCATTAGTGGGAAAAGGGTGTCTTTAAATACCTGGTGACAGGAGCCCTTTTCTTATTCTTACTCCGGGCAGATGTGGCAGGGAGAGGTCTGATAAAAGAATGCCAGGTGGAAGTTTTGAGGCCCATCTGGGTCCTTAAATCCAAGAGTAATTGTGTTCCCCTTTGGGAGTAAGTCCTGTCTCCCATCTCCCATCCCACGATGTGAGCTGTAGCGTTTCCTTGACCTTGAGCTTGCCCTTTCCTGACGTGGAACTTCTCATTCGGGGGTGTTTGATTGTGTCCTAGAGCAGTGGTTCTCAACCTTGGCTGCACATTAGAATCACCTGGGAATCTTTTTAAAATCCTGATTTCTGGGCCTCACCCTCCAGAAATTCTGTTTCTTTGTTATGGAAAATGGGGGTCTAGTAGGGCCTTGGCCACTGTCATCTCAGCTGAGAGTGAAGGGTGGGGAGGAGAAGGGCAGGGGGGGCTGAGCCTAGGCATCCTTGGCCCCATGTTCCCATCCCCACCCACTCTCAGCACATTCCTCCCCTCCCAGCACAGGCATGTGACAGGCAGCATGGCCAAGCTGACCAGGATGCTGGACTACCTGCTGCAGGAGGTGAGGCTCACGGGGCCCCAACTCCACGGGCCACGCCCCCAGCTGCCTGGTGTCTGCCTTCCGCAGAATAGAGGGCGCTGCCCTTCCGAGGGCTGAGGGCTGGCAGGGAAGGTTCTGGTTACTCAAACTGCCTCCACGGGTTGAGAAAAAGCTAGTGGCAGGCCTCCCAGGGGGGAGAGCAAGACGAGGGAAAGGGTCCGGAGGAGGCTTTGAATGAAAGCCTGGGTCGGGTTTAGCGCCCTCCACTCTTGCAAAAGATATTTCCAACAGACTTCTGGGCAGGAAGCGGAGCGCACAGCCCCTCCCTGGGTCTCAGAGACCCCGCTCTTCCCTGAACAGCGCGGGGCAGTGCTGGCCGGGAGGGTCCCTGAGGGCCTCCAGGGCTTCCCTCTGTGCAGGGAGCGTGCTGAGCAAGCTCTGCGGTCTGACTCCTGGGAGGCAGCTTCCCCGTGGCGGAGGGTCCCAAGTCCTGTCACCAGCGGGGTCCTGCTTCCTCGCTGACACCTGGTGGGACGGTGCCCTGCCCACCGTGAGGTGGTGAATGCCCTCACGTCTCTGCATCACCAGCAGGGCTGGCAGCTTTGGACCTCCCCCAGCCAAACTTCTCCCAGAGAGGCCCACCAAGCTAGCCAGACCCCAGAGGGGCTCACGCCAAGGGCTCCAGGGAAGACCTGGGCCGTGACCAGGACTTGGCATCTTCCCCGTTTCCTCCTAGGTCCCCAGAGCATTTGTGAACCTGGTGGACGTCTCTCTGCGGCACCAGGGGACCCAGCTCAGGTGAAGAGGGGAGCGGAATGGGACCAGCACCTGTGGGGGGGCTGCCATGTGCCAGGAACTGGGCGGGCCCGTCACCACACACTAACCCCCTGCGGGAGACCCAAAGGCGGAGGGAGGCCCAGAGAGGCTGAGCCGCTGCGGGAACCAGCCAGTCTGGTGGAGGTAGTCGGATGGCCCGCCCCCACCAGGATGATCTGAGGGTTTAAAAAGCAGGTTTGGGAAAACATCCATAAGCCAAGAAGTGATACTTCTAGAAACTGGAAAGAAAAAAGTTTAGCCCAAATGTATTTGATCTTCACAGAATTTGATTGGCAGGTAGTTCTGAAATTTGTCATAGAATTTAAACTCCTTGACCCCAGATCCCGAGATTTCTGGCTTTGGACTCAGAAAAGAGTTCACGTGGCAAGAGTCAGGGTAGGGACAGCTGGGGGTGGGGGCAATGGCAAGGAGAGGACGGTCCGAGCCGAAAGGGGGGTTGAGGAGAAGGGACACAGAGTCGGGGAGGGAGACATGGCGGTGGGTCTGTGGTGAGGAGGCGGGGAGGGCGGTGCACCCGGAGATGGAGTGCGAGGGGGCATGTCTCCACGTCCCTTCCTCCCTTCCCCACCCCAGGAGGGACAGTGGGAGCCAGATCACAGTGCACCCTGAGACCCCAGCTTCTCCTCCCCACTCCCCAGGCCCCAGCCCTCTCACTCCTCCACAGGCAGCTGATGGCCCCAGGTCCTCTCACTCCTCCACAGGCGGCTGATGGCCCCGTATCTGAGCTCTCATTCTGGCTTATTTTCCCTGCAGCCTCGCAGCAGAGCCCTGCAGGTGCTCGGGGGACACCTCAAAGCTGTCCCGGGTTGTGACACAGTGGTCCTATCAGGTGAGCCCACTCCGTGTCCAGGGTTGTGACACAGTGGTCCTATCAGGTGAGCCCGCTCCGGGAGGCTGGCGGCTCGCAGGGGCAGGTCATGGAGGAGAACGGGTGGCAGGGACGATGAGGGTGTAAGTCCCCCCTTCTCCCACGGAGTCAGGAACCAGAGAGCGGCTCTCGGCTCACTCCCGGGTGATGACTTGATTTTTCTACCTGTAAAGTGGGGACAATACTGGCAGTGGCAGCTCTTTAGCTAGTGAAGAACTGGGCAGATTCACTCAGAAAGAGTCGGGGTCATGATCACCTAGTGTACCACTGCTCCTGTGGTTGCTGAGTTGAGTATGCCCAGGCTGGGCCCGTACCCCAGACCACAGCCCCAGGGCGACTCAGAGGCCCCGAAGGTGCGCTGCTGATTTAGAGACGAGACCCCAAGAGGGTGAGGATGGCTCAGTGGAGGCCACCAACCCTGTCAGCAAACAGCTCAAACACAGTTCCTATTGACATGTTCACACGAGGACTTTTGTTTAAGCAGAAAGTTATGCATGAAGCCGTGTGGCCCTTTTCTCCAGAGGCGACATGTTTTGTATAGTTAATGGCACGTCCCTCTACGGAACTGCCCTTGAGCAGAGCATGGCACCCTCACTGTGTGCCTGGCTGCCCCATCCTCCTTGAGCTCCCAGGGAATATAGCTCGGATCTATCTCTGGGGTGAATTCAGAAAGCAGGTGGCGTGTGCTCGTGGCTGAGGGCTGCTGAGAGCTCCCGGTGGGAGCGGAGGCGGGGCAGGCGGGGCCTCGCTCCAGCTCCCAGGCACACACTCTCTGCTCTCTCCTCCAGGAAAGCTGGGACAGTCTCCTGGCCTCCAGCAGGTACAACCAGCAGGAGTCCTTCTCGGTGGTGTTCCAGCCCTTCTTCTACGAGGCGGCCCTGTCACCACACTCGGTGAGTGAGGGGAACTATGGGCAGCTGGCCCACACCCTCTCCCTCTCCCTCTCCCTCTCCCTCTCCCGCCCAGATGGGACCCACTGAGCCCAGGGCCTGCCCTCTTAGGGGGAAATGCTGCAATATTCCCTTATACTTGCTGGCGACTTCCCCATGGGGTTGGAGAGCCCGTGAGGCAGGCTCTTGGAGGCAGAGGCCCAGAGGCACAGACCATGGACTTGAGCTGACGGCTCCCGGCTCTGACACGGGCCAGCTGTGTGACCTGGGCACGTTGTCAGAACTCTGCCCGGCTCCCCCTCTGTGAAGTCGGGGCCATTCTTGATGTTCCCGCCTCTAGGGTGGTGCCAATGGCATGAGTAAGCACGTGTGGGGAGCCCAGGGAGCCCTCGGTCCCGCTTGGCTATGTGACCCTAGGACAGAACTTTAGGGCACAGGGCACCCTCCTCCTGCAGGCTCTCTCCCTCCACCCTGGAAGGAAGGGTAGTTTGAGTTGACCCTACTCCCCCAGGTCACCGGGCAAATACCCCTTGTCCCAGCGGGGCGCCCAGACCATGAGCACGGGGGTGGGTCCGCACGTGTTGTGTCTGGGACAGTCCCCGCTCCAGGCTTCTGGCTCCTGCCTGTTGGAGTTGTTGTGCCCCCTCCAGGACTTAAACCCAGACATGCAACCCAGGCAGGTGCCCTGACCGGGAATCAAACCATGACCTCCTGGTTCATAGGTTGATGCTCAACCACTGAGCCACACCAGCCAGGCTTAAACGATGTTTAAAAATGATGGTTTAAAACAGTGGTTCTCAACCTTCCTAATGCTGCGGCCCTTTAATACAGTTCCTCATGTTGTGGTGACCCCCAATTTCATTGTTACAAATTGAACATAATTAAAGCATAGTGATTAATCACAAAAACAATATGTAATTATATATGTGTTTTCCGATGGTCTTAGGTGACCCCTGTGAAAGGGTTGTTCGACCCCCAGAGGGGTCGCGACCCACAGGTTGAGAACCGCTGGTTTAAAAGGAGGAGGAGAGTCTGGCTGGCATGGTGGGCTCGATCCCCCATGTGGGGCCTGCAGGAGGCAGCCGATCAGTGATTCTCTCTCATCATTGATGTTTCTATCTCTCCCTCTCCCTTCCTCTCTGAAATCAATAAAAATATTTTTTTTAAAAGAAGGAGGAGGTATGTTAGTTCCCATCCCCCTCCCACTCAGACCACACAGGAACCCTTTCCTATCCGCTGCTCCTGCTGTTCGGCTCAGGGGTGGGGAACCCCGTGACGGTGAGGGTTTGGCCGGCTCCTGCAGGCCCTCACCTCCATGCCTGACCCCCGACAGCGGTCCCATGTGGTGCCATTGCTGATATGGAGAGGTGAGAGGAGGAGTCTGGACAGAGCAGGGCCACCCCATCTCTGCTAGGGACAGCTTCAAGTGCGTGGCAGGCCCACCCATCCTTGGGGCACAGGGGTTATCATCCGGTTCTCTTTCAGGGGGTATGGCCACACCTGGACTCCACCACCCTCGCCTTGAATCTCTGGAACATCATGGTGAGTCACAAGGGGTTCTGGGGGCTGCGGGGCCAGCCTGGGGATTGGCCTAAGGAGAGGCAGGGCCTCCACCACCACCACCACACCCACCCTGCCCACTGCTCTGATGGAGGGGCTGTGGGATCCTAGCAAGTCCCAGGGCAATGATTCCAGGCCACCAGGGATCCTTCCCACATGTGGGCACAGCCAGCTCTGCCCACCTGGGAGTCTCACCACTTCTTCCCAGAGCGGGGGCGCAGCCCTGGCAGCATGCAGGGCTCCCTGGGCATCTTCAGCCCTGCCCTTCCCAGAGGTTGGGGATGTCCTTGGAGTGTGTGGGAGATGCACTTGGAGTGGGGCCTAGGGAACATCTCACACAGCGATCCAGGCCAGCTCTCCATCACGTGACATGTAAGTACCATCACGTGATTTCAAGGCCCAGGGTGGTACCTGGGATGAGCATGGACTTTCGAGTGATGGAGACCTGGGTTTGCATCTTAATGCCGTCTCTCACAGGTCGTGTGAACTGAGGGTCTCCCCTCCCTTTCTGCAAAACCCAGATCCTAACACTGGCCCAGGACCCGGCGAGTGTGTAGCTCACTCCTGGCCCACAGTGCATATTCGACACGTGTTGGCGCTCCTCACGTAACTGCCTGGTTTCCCCACTCCAAGGCCCCCAGGGCTACCTGGGTCCGTCAGTGGGTGGGATGGAATGTCAAAACTTTGAGCCTTGGTACCAGACACACACCTGATTTTGCCATTTATTTTTTCCCCATCCACGCTGCCCTATTTTTAGAATTCCAGTGACAGGAACTTGGTTTTCTTCTTCTTGGATTAGAAAATGTTTTCTCCATCTTTTCAACTAAGTGCTCTGCTGAGTACCTCGAGCAGCTGTGCATTAGCCAGCAGCGAGTGAGCGGGGCCGGACCAGCCCCTGCAGCCCTGGCCAATGGTCACACTCGCCTTAAAGAAAGCATTTGCTTTCTTTGTCAGTGGGCCTGACCCTGGGGTGGAACCATTTGCTGCCACCTCCTGTGGAGGCAGAGGAAGCGAACCTGCCCCCTCCTCCGGGCCGCCCTCCCACCGCCCTCTCTCTGGGCAGAAGGGCTGACTATTCCAGCTCAGCCCAAACTGCCTCCTTCCCTTCCCACGTCACCTGTCTCCCAGGCAACGAGAGAGAACCTACTGTGTGCCCTGTGCTGGGTCCAAGGCGGATACAAAAGACACACCAAACGGCCTTTGCCATCACCCAGCCCAGGGTGGAGTTGGGAGGGTCGGGCGACTCAGAGGAACAAGAGTAGACTTGAACTCAGCCAGCAGTGATGCTGGACGGGGCACCCCGCAGTGACAGGGCAGGAGAGCCCCACCACGGTGGGACTTGAGTTGGCTTTGTGGGGTGTGGCAGAGGAGGGCAGGCGGGATACTTGCATTTCTCATGTGTTTCCAGGTGACGTGACCCTGCGTCCAGGGTCAACTCTGAGAAACACAACGAACGAGCCTTTCTCGGTGGCCCCTGGAATGCTGCCGCCGCCCGAGCTTCACTTTCTGTTCTAAAGATCGCCTTCTTTTCTAGATGGAGCCCACGGGACAGAAAGATGAGCCGCTCAGGGCAGATGAGGGCTGGCCCATGAAATGTCCCTCTCAGGTAGGCCAGGCCTGGGGAGAGAGGAAACCTCTCACTGAATCAGGAGGGAGATGGGGCCACCAACCGGGCTTTGCTGTGAGGTGGGATCTCACCTGGCTGAGGCATTGGCCGCTTTAGAGCTGTGGGTCTGTTCCGGGTCCAGTCACAGCTCTGCATACGTGGCACACATAAGATTTACGGAATTCAGCCATTGTGGCAGAATTGAGCTGTTTTAGTAGCGTTATGGCCCCTTCCACACCTGGGGAGGGCAGAGGGACAAAGCCATATCTCACCTGGCCCCAAGCATCCCAAATGTGAAGATGGGTTTCTTAACTCTGTGCCAAATATGTAATAGGCATGTAGTTAATGTTGCTGAATAAATGGATGGGGAAATGCCATAAATGAGTAGAATTCCTTTTGTCATTTACTGGTAGTGGAAGTTTTGGCTTTCTGGATGAAGTGGTAAGTTTTTGTTGCGAGGCTATAAGAACAGTATAATTCACCCTGTTTCCCTCTTTGCTTTGGCTGCCAGGAAGCTTACAACTAAGTTCTTCTTTCATGGAAATATACGTACTTTGCTGGTAGAGAGCCAGAGATGCCAACTATGGCAAATGGGAAATTTTAAAGCATGAATGGGCTCCTCCAGGGAACTCATAGGCAGTGCAGAGAAGAAAAGCCAGAGAATGGCCTTCATTTAAGTGATGGTGTGAATGTTGCAAGTTGGCCAAAGGCATTGCTGGGTGATACAGCCTGATGATTAACGGGTACAGATTTCTGAGTCCTGGTTACAACACATTATTTTTCTCTGCAGGAAAATCCATATCTGTTCACCTATAAAAACAGCAACTACCTCCCAAGGTCCCATGAGAAGCTTGAGGTATGGAGAGGTTTTCTGTGGTTGACACTCATGCAAATGAATCAGGGGCTGTATACCGGGCTGAACCTGTGGAAACGTCCACGTGGTGCTTTATGTCCTGGAACCCCAAGGGCAGGCTGGGTGGATGACGGATCAGGGGTGTAGCTGTCTCCTTGGTGCTTGAAGAAGGTCTCCCCTCACTTTATGAGTGTTTAGCATTTGAGCCAAAAACTGAGGACTAGCCTGGAAGCCCGATCTCCGAGGATTAAGAAAATGCAATGAAGAGAATAACAATTCTGCAGTTTCATTTTTTGTTTGTTTTTTTTTTGTTTATTGGAGTGACATTGGTTCACAAAACCATACAGGTTTCAGCGTTCAAGTGTACAACTTAACAAAACATCATCTTCACACTGTATGGTGCGCCCATCACCCCAAGCAAAGTCTCTCTCCGGCCCCATTTCCCCCTCCTTGGCCACCTCCACCTGCCCCTACCTCCTTTCCCTCTGGCGATTCCCACACTGTTGTCTATGTCTGTGTGTTATGTGTGTATGTGTATGTTTTTTTGCTTAATCTCTTCACCTTCTTTTATCCAGTCCCCCAACCCCCTCCGTCTGACAGCTGTCAGTCTGTTCCCTGTATCCATGCCTCTGTTTCTATTTTGTTCATCAGTTTAAATTCATCTGAGGCCTTCGTCAGAAGAGAAAGTCAAGAGGAAAGGCCGAGAGATATAGTAAAATCTGCAACCAAACAATGTGGAGACCAAGAGGCCTCTGACATTAGCTCCTACCTCAAGGGCCACCTCACACTTACTCACATCTTGCTTATGGCTTATCTTGTGACTCTCTGATACTCTCCGTCAGATTAGATAGGGCACCTGCGCTGCTCTGAGGAGCCGAGACACTTGCAGGCTGATGTCCTCCTCCTCTGGGGACTGATACCGGTTACATCAAATTCAGCCTCGCGCCATCCCTGCCTCCTTATTGTATAAAAGAGGGTGAGGGTTACTCCCGGTGGTGGAGGCAGTGCTGATGGCCAGGGCCTGCCCCACGAAGCCCGAGAATCACAGTGTGGAAGTCTCTCTTGCTCATCAACTTGTCCCCGCACCTTCTAACTGTCACTACAGCAACGAGGACAATCTGAGGGCAGAGAACTGGCTCTGGGTTCCAATCCAGGCTCTTCCACAGTCAGGCTCTGTGTCACTGGACGAGGTAGTGAACTCCTCTGTGCCTTGTTTATTTTGACATGGGAAGTGGTGAAAGTCATAGCCCTGCCTCATGGAGATGTTTTGCAATTGTAACAGTAAGTGTAAAGCGTGTGTGGTAGGATCGGCAGGCTACGAGTTCCGTGTACGTGTTGCCATTGTTTTCATCTGGTGATGGGGAGTGATACGTTCCTGCAGGTTACAGCTATTGATGACCCACCTGCTCTATACCACTAGGACTCAAGGTCGGTGAGGGCAGGGACTCAGAGCAGGTACCCAACCATTATTTGTTGAGTGACTAAATGGGTGGGTGGGGGGAAGGATGGATACCAGGCATGGGAGGCAAAAACATCAATAAAATACTCGCAGGTCCTAAGGAACTCAGTCTGGTGGGGCCAAGCAGGTTATTGCACAAGGGGATACGTCTGTAATCAACGTTTCCGTGAGGCTTTCAGGGAACAACTAACTGAGGCCGGGGAGGATGGAAGGAGACTTCCGGAGAGTACCCACCACCTCAGCCCTGAAGGGTGACTGAGGCTGAACCAGGTGGATGGGAATGTGGGGAAATGGGGGGAAGAAAAGGAAAAGGGAGAGTAGAGGTAAGAGCTTAGGCTAAGAGATGGAGGTATGGAGAGCCAAGAGCATTGGGTCAATTCTTGTGGTTTAGAATGACCAGGGGCTGCTTAGGCCATGTGAAGAAGGATGGACTTTATGTTGGTATGAATACAGAGTAGAAATGTATTTACTATTCAACCAACAAATATTTATGAGCATCTACTGTATACTGTTCTCGGCTCTGGGGATATAGCAATACCCAAAACAGATATTTTTAAAAAGCCCTGCTTTCTCTGAGAATTTGAGCAAGGGAGTGGCCTGATTTTATTATGTAGAGAGAGAGAGAGACCCCCCTCGATGCTGGGAAGGAAGCCAGAGGCCTGAGGTGGTGATGCTATGAATACTGGAATGGTCCAGGCAAGAAGAAATAGGCCTGGACGTAGGCTGAGGCAGAGGGACCAGGGAAGAGGGGACAGGTTTGGAAGCATTTGGAGAGGATGTTGTGGGCACCCGAATCTGAGTGTTGAATGAGAGGAAGAAATCTTAAAAGATGGTTGGGTTGCTGTATTAAGTAATATTTTCCAATTTTAGAGACCCCACTCCTCACCCAATGTCAACGTGTCCCTTTTCTCCTCTTTCTCTGTGTCTCATTTCAGGCGAGAGATGGAACGGAGATCAGGTGCCCTGCCATGGATCCCTCCGACAAGATTCCCACCTCAGGTACACACTTGAATCAGGTGATTTTTAAGCTCATGTGAGGCCTGGACTCCTCAGAGTAAGAGCAGCCGTAGGGTGACAAGGGCTTTGCACACAGCCTGAGGTATACCCGAGAGGTTTTTCAAGGACAACAGAATCAGCTCTGCATGTGCAGGCACACCTTGTTTTATTGCGCTGCACAGATGTTGCATTTGTTGCAAATTGAAGGCAATACCCTCCACCAGCAAAAAAGATGATGACTCACTTTATTGCGACACTCGCTTTATTGTGGTGGTCTGGACCCAAACTCGCAATATCTCTGAAGTATGCCTATATGTGTGTAAGTTCATGCCTGTGTTTGATTATTCTTTAACTGAAATAAGATATGATATGATGTGATGTGATAAGATATGATATGTTCTGTTGTGATGTGATATGATACGGTCAGAAAGCATTTATTAAGCATTAACCACGTGCCGAGCCGTATTCCGCAAAGAGAGGGCTCATGTCATTGTCCCTGCCGTCAAGCCTTGATGAGGTGATTTGCTCTCCAAAAAGCAAATCTATCTGGAAGCAGAAAGAGAAGTAACCAGTCCGCACTCCCTGTCAGAGTGACGTGCAGGACACACCCTCAAGCCCCGCACAGAACAGGAAAGCTGTCTTAGAAATGTGCTATTTTTGCTGCTGACATTTCTAAAATGTTGTTGGATATGAAAATGAGAGTGATGGAATGTTCTAGGCAGAGACCTTGCCACAGAGGGGCTGCCTAAGGTCTGAGCCTTCTCCTCCAGGCCTGCTAGTCTGGGAGTGATGGCTGTGTGTGTGACCATGGGAACTCACAGGTGGGGGGAGGGAGGGGCCATATGGTGACCCAGGCAACTCCAACCATCAGCCCAGGAACATTTCTGCAGCAGTGAGATGGGGTCCTGGAGGGTGACTCATTGGTTCATTGACTTGTTCACTTGTTCATTCATTGAGGAGATGCTTGTTGAGTGCCTCCTACGTGCCCTGCAGGGTAGACAATTAAGTCTGGAGAGGCCGCAGTGTCTAGCAGGAATCTTTCAGGGATGCAAATCTTTGTAGTCAGGTTGCCTCCTTTTGCTGAGTGTTAGTAGAACAAATAAATGCCCTGGCTGTTAGCCTACCTCCCACACATGTCTCAGCCCTATGCACTCCAATTAAGCCAAATTTTCCCCAAACTTTGGTGTATAACTGGCTCTTGTTCTCTAATGCAGAAGAAGGGAATGGATGGTTGAGTTCTCTCTCTCACACACACACACACACACACACACACACACTCACACGCTCACTCTCACACTTGCTTTTAGTCTTTGACTTTTCCCCCCACAGAGTTGGTGACAACCCACTCCTCTTGGTTAGCTTATTAGCAGGATTTCTAGCAGCAGAAATAAGTTACTAGCCTCATATGTAGGCCCTCCTATAGCAAAACCTCAAAGGTGCATGTACATATTTATGTGTCTCTGTATAGAGAGAGAAAAGGAGAGGATGAATGTCCATGTTTTAATAGCCACAGTGAAATGCCATCTTCCTCTCATTAATCTTATCACTCTGCAAGAATGAGCTACAAAGTGTTTTGCAATCTGCCTAGATTATGTTCCTGTCATGACAGTGATAACCAACCAATCCATGAGCGCCTATCTCAGCATCTAAAAGCCACATAAAGTCTGAACCTCTTCCTCATGCCCTGACCCTGGAGATTGGTGTTCATTGGCACTCGAACATGTAAGTGCCAGACATCTCATGACCTTGAGATCTGAGATACGCTGGTGATAGGGGCTATTTGAATAAGCAGGTGGGCAGATTTAGGCTGGCTTGCTCTGACCAAGCGGGCGTGGGACGGAAACACTCCCCAGGCGGGGCCTCGTGTCTGAGTCCCACCTGGAAAGTGTTATTTAGGCAAATGACCACCACTAACTGGACCATAATGAAAACACACTTCATCGCTGTGCATGACCTATGACTGGACATTTTAAGCACACTTGTGACTTAAAATGGAGTAGGCAAATGGACTTAGCACAGGGCCACATTATTATTTTCCCTTGATAATGATCATCTTTCTGGTGAGGTCGTTCACTTTTCTAGAGATCACGTTTGCAATTTTTAATCAAGATGACGGCATCTGATACATACTTACAACAGGTTATCTTATCTTTATATCCCCGATGATTCAGCACCTGGTGAGAGCCCATACATGTTTGCTGAACTAATCTGAATTACTGAGCATTTCTAATTCAGCAAATCAACAGCTTCTCAGAGTGGAAAAAGACCTTCAAACCAACTAGACCAAAGTACCTCCTGTTCAAACCATTTTTCTGATAAAATAGCCTTTTTGCCTTCAGAGTTATTTTCAGAAACCTTTTTTAGTCCCTTTTCTGTTTTTTCTTTCGACCCACCCCTGAGATAACCTAGCTAGCCAAAAGTGATGTTCAAACTACGATACTGCCTTCATCAGCAGGCCAGGCAGAGCTCCTGGCAGCCAGGATGCCTCATGCTCATTCCCTGGGAGCCCACAGGTGACAAACCGCTTCCACTGATCTGTGGGGTTTTGGGTGAGATATATAGGATTGATGTAATTTTTATAACCAATTGGAATTTGGTAGCCGATGGATGGATGGAAAAATGAATGAATGAATGCAGGCCTCTGATTTTTTTTTCTTCCAGTTCGTTCACATGTACAGTTTGCAAGGCACTATCTCCTGTGGGCTTCACAACTTCATAAACACTTGTATTATTTTACATTATTCCATGGCCCTGTCCCTAACGTAGTTGGAATAACTGAGAGAAAAAATGTTGGGGCCTGGTAGCTGACTTAAGGTTTTCCCAGTGAGAAAAGGAGTCGCATTTTGCAAACAAAGGAGTGGCGATGATAAGGAACCAGAGGGACATGGCTCATTGGCTAAAGTCAAGCTGCGAATTCCACGCAGAGAGAAAACTTATAGTATTTGGCCCAGCCGGCATGGATGAGTAGTCGAGTGACAACCTATGAACCAGGAGGTCACAGTTCGATTCCCAGTCAGGGCACATGCCCGGGTTGTGGGGCTTGATCCCCAGTGTGGGGTGTGCAGGAGGCAGCCCTTCAATGATTCTCTCTTATCTTTGAAGTTTCTGTCTCTCTCTCCCTCTCCCTTCTTCTCCGAAATCAATAAAAATAAAATAAATAAATAAAAAAAACTTAGAGTATTTGCAAATGGGGATCCACAAAGCTCATTATATGCCACAGTCACCAACAGTATGATTCAGAACAGTTCATTCATTTAAGCCACTGATTCCTTTCTAAGTCCCTGATATTATTTATTTTACCCACTTGGCTAAAATGAGCTACTCAAAAGCTGATATGAAAAATGCCCCAGGGCACAGCCCTGAGTGACCCCTGAGGCTTTCACTCCATTGTGGACCAGCGCTTTAATGTCCAGTAGAGACCCTGAAGCTGTCCATTAGCCACTGCTGCTATGGGTCTTGCAACTTAACCCAGCCCGTGACCAGGAAGTCATGATGCCCCATAAGGAGTAACAGCCTGCTTGTGCCTAGGTGGGACCAGTCTGCTAAGCAAGTTCAAACTCACCCCAAGACATTGGGGTAAATAAGTTTCCCTTCCCTGTAGTTTCCATCATATTAGGCTTGGAGAGCTGTCAGATCCCTGACACAGAGCCCCTTACTTAGCCTGTCTTTGCCCTTAACACTTTTCTTGAGCTCCTACTATGTGCAAGACACATGTTTTGTATAAACTCACACTAAAGCACTTCAAAGGCAGAAAACAAGGACCCCCTGTTGTTCCAGCAGTTTAGCACCATTGCAGAAGTCTTCACATAAGTCCCTAAAATCAGAGAGCTTATGGGTTGGGCAGCCCTAGCTAATAATTAAGAGAACGTTTGTGTTTCAGAATGGCCCCACTTGGTTAAGTTGTTGGGTTTCACAAAACAAAACTCCAAAGTTCCAAGTCTTTCTCCTGGGTGTAACTCTTCCTGTAAAGAAGGTAGTGTCCCCAATTCTCTACTCTTGCCTACCCTTGCCTTGCTATTCATCATATTTCCTCATCATTAGGATGGCCTTCAGATAAGAGGTCCCCTGTGAAGAAATCTTGATGAGTTAATGATGTGTTTATCAATTCCTTTCAAGGTGCTGCACAACTTGTACCAGATAATGCTTAGCTAATCATCCCACACAAACATAATCTTATCTCTAAATAGTTCTTTTCCCAAGGAGAGCAATTGATAAGGTGCTTGCTGTGTTTCCAGGCTGTATCTTTGTCATACATGATGATAATAACAAAGCTCAAATCAAGGTCTACAGATATTAAACCAATGATAAGTGTTGGACTCTATCTTAATAAAATCCCAGATAAGTCAAACTCCTCTCACCTAGACTTGGCTCATTTGGTTTCTTATTTCTTATAGGAAATCCTTTATAATGACCAATAGGAGAAACCCCCTCCCCTATCACACATAAATTAATCTGTCTACGTGTGTGTGTGTGTGTGTGTGTGTATACACACATATATGTATACATGCATGTGTATTTTCTGGCTGCTATAAATTTTGGAGACAGGAATGGTCAGTTTCAGCTGCCTCTTTATCAAATTATAATCTGATTTGGATGCAAATATATCCATTTCTTCCACATTTGTCACCCCAAAGGTTTCCCCTAACCTTTGCACTTTAGAGTGTTCACAAAATTCACTGTATTACACATTATGGCAACAAGAATATAGTGATTAACTCTCATCAACAGGAGTTAAAATCAACCTTCTAGACCAGCGGTTCTCAACCTGTGGGTCAAGACCCCTTTGGGGATCGAACGACCCTTTCACAGGGGTCGCCTAAGACCATCGGAAAACACATATATAATTGTTTTTGTGATTAATCACTATGCTTTAATTATGTTCAATTTGTAACAATGAAAATACATCCTGCATATCAGATATTTGCATGACGATTCATAACAGTAGCAAAATTACAGTTATGAAGTAGCAACGAAAATAATTTTGTGGTTGGGGGTCACCACAACATGAGGAACTGTATTAAAGGGCCGCGGCATTAGGAAGGTTGAGAACCACTGTTCTAGACTCCTTGTTGCCTTTTTTTTACCCACAGCCTGATTTCTTTGAGAAGAGGTCGTTTTGAAGTTCCTAGGCTCAGCCCCGTTGGTGTGTGCTAATGTGTGCAGCTGGCTTTGTGATTTGATATTGTTCTTCTAACACATATCCTTGGGCACACCACAGACCTACTAAATCAGAGACTCTGAGGGTGGGGACCAACCATCTGTGTTGTAACAAGCTCTCCAGATGGTTGGTGCGTGCTCACATTTGAGGGCCATGATCATATATATTCTGCTTACGCACATTCACAACGATGTATGTGTTAGTGTGCGTGCCGTTGTGGGAAGAGTCAGGGACTTGTGCTTTTCCAATGAGAGCAGTTCCTCAGGGGGAGTGGCAGTTCCCCATCTGCAGACAGCATGGAAGTCAGGTAGACAAGATGTCTCCATGGAAGGAAACAAGACATTGTTCCCACTGCGTGTTAATGCAGCTTCCTCCACGGGTATAATGATACAGCCACGATTTGGATGCTGATGAGTGAAGTGGGCTCTATGTGGTCCAGTTGTGTCAAAAGCCTCTCTCATCTGTGTGTCACTCACTGTATGTTTATAAAGTGACCTGCCAAAGAAGAGCTATAGAGAGAGCCTCCTTGCACACAAGTTTCTGTTCATCCATTTTGAGCAATGGCTGCTGAAATGATGGGCTTCTTCCCTCTGGGAGTGGGCCCCTCCCTGGTACCAATGCTGTTAGGCTTCTCCGAAGGCCTGAGGCTATTTGACAATGTAGCTCAGCCTTGCACCACTAGAGACGAGGGAGGCACGTCTAAGAGGAACGTGGAGCTATGGCAAAGTCAGCGTGACTGTGGCACAAGGCACCCTAGAGGAACGGGAGATATTGGGGGTAGTAGGAGGTGAGCTTGTGATTTGAGAGGACAGAGCTACATATGACATAAAGAATCTTAGGTGTGGTCCCCAAAATGCACTTGGACTCACATGCCTACGGGTATGAGGTGAAGGGGTAGATAAATATAGCGCAGGTATACCCGTGCAAGTTATTCTGTATACAGGGTGGGGCAAGAGTAGGTCTACAGTTGTGAGTGTGCAAAACACAGAACTTATTCTTGTATTATTATTTATTAATTATCATACTTTCCATATGAACCCTGTATAGCAAAATTCATGTTTACCAGGCACAAAAGGCCTGTGGCCCTAATCTACTTCTCAACATTATTTTTGTTAGTCTTCTCTACCCATCACTTAACCAAACTGTACAACTATCTGTTCTTCATAGCCACTAGGTCCATCCTTTATGCTTTCCAGCACCTGCCTGGCTCTCTCTCAATCTCATCTCATAATGTCCCGAGGCTCAGTTCAAACACCACCTTCTCCATGAAGCCTGCTCAGAACCTCCCTCCCCCCCATCACACCCCTAGGGGGTCAATCACCCCTCAGCTCCAGCACTTCCTATCACTTCATACCTCTCAGAGTGTTTACCAACCTATCGGTTATTATAACTATGGCTGTTCCCCGTTTCCTCCTTAGCCTGTGAGGTTCTTGAGGCCACCTAACTTTTCTGATCACTGTGTTGTCCCAGGGCACCCGGCCACGGCTTGGTGTTGAACATGTTTGTCATGTGAGTAGACAGCTGCTTAGCCAAGCACAGTATGTGCAACCCGAGAGGTAAAACATAGAGTCAGGCTGTAAAAACCAGTTTGGTGGTTCCTCAAAAAACTAAACATAGTATTATCATATAACCCAGCCATTCCACTCCTAGGTATATATCCGAAATAATGGAAAACAGGCTTTCAAATAAATACTTGTACAGGAATGTTCATAGCAGCGCTGTTCACAATCACCAGGAGGTGAAAACAAACCCAATGTCCTTCAAATGATGGACGGATGGACAAACAAAATATGGTATGTCCATACAATAGAATATTATTCAGCCATGAAAAGGAACACGGTACTGACACATGCTGTAACATGGGCAAACCTTGAAAACATTATGCAAAGTGGAAGGACCAGACACAACTGGCCGCATATTGTATGATGCCATTTGTAGGAAATGTCCAGAAGAGGCAAATCCAGAGACAGGAAGCAGATTAGTGGTTGCCAGGAGCTGGGGGGAGGGAGAGATGGGGAGTGACTGCTAATGGGCACAGGTCTCCTTTGAGGGTAAAATGTTTTGGAACTCGATAGAGGTGGCTGTTGAGCAACACTGTGAAAGTAGCACTAAATGCCATTGAATTGTTGACTCTAAAATGGTTGGTTTTATGTTATATGAATTTTACCTTGATTTAAAAAAATAGTGGTGTGAAAGCAGTTCCCCTCTTCACTGTAGAGAAACTGAGCTAATATTATTAGCAGAATGATAGGAGACTTTACCCCGAATATGACCGGATCCTAGAATAGATTAAGTCAGTGGTTCTCAACCTTGGCTGCACATTAGAATCACCTGGGAATCCTTTTAAAATCCTGATTTCTGGGCTTCATTTGCCCAGAAATCAGGATTTCCCAGCCCTAGCCGGTTTGGTTCACTGGATAGAGCATCGGCCTGGGACTGAAGGGTCCCAGGTTCGATTCCAGTCAAGGGCATGTACCTTGGTTGCGGGCACATCCCCAGTAGGGGGTGTGCAGGAGGCAGCTGATCAATGCTTCTCTCTCATCGATGTTTCTAACTCTCTATTCCTCTCCCTTCCTCTCTGTAAAAATTAATAAAATATATTTTTAAAAAAAAGATTCCCAGGTGATTCTAATGTGCAGCCAAGGTTGAGAACCACTGGATTAAGTGTTGGTCGTGAGTCCACCAGAGTTCCTTCCCTCGTCCCCATGTCCGGGGCCACTACGTGCCCTAAGGAAGCTGCTCACTTGTGGCATCAGGTTTCCCCTCTGCAAGCTGGGCCACTCCAGCCCCGAGCCCTGAGCCCAGGTGCCCCGGGGAGGACCCGGCAGTCAGGCTCCCGCCTGCTGTTGCTGACCCTCATGGCAAGGACGGCTCTGAATATCTCTGTCCCCGCTGAACTGCTGTGGAAAACAGGCGTGCTCTCCGTTTTCCTGGGAGATCCTCATTTGTTTGCAGAGGAGACAGGAACCCCGATCTTCCATTCACTCCCACTTGGTTCTCAGTTCACAGGCTGAAGCCCGCAGACATCAAGGTGATCGCAGCCCTGGGCGACTCCCTCACGGTGAGTTACCCTGACTGTGGAGGGAAAGGGAAGGAGCAGCGAGGGCCTGGCCTGGGGTCACGGGACGACCTGGAGAGAAAGCCTCACTCCCGGCTCTTAGGTGTTTCCATCTCGGGTCCTGATCGCCAGTCCCTGTACATCCCCGCACGCCCTGGGACCGGCATTCCTTGCCCACCTGGTTTTCCCAACTGCACCCTACACTCACACTGCTGGTCCAGCTGAGTGTCCCCCAAAGGCCAGCGGGCACCTTCCCTGTCTGTGGCCCGTTCACAGAGCTATTATCTCACTCGTTCTCCTCCACAAAACCCCCTGAAGTCCGACTCTCCTTAAACTTAACCAGTGAAGACAGCAACGCTGGGAGAGGCCGTCAGTGTCCCCGGCCACTCGGCTTGTGAGCGCCAGACCGGGGCCGGACCCCATCCCGCTACTGCAGCCGCCCCCTCCTGACCCCTCAGTGACCCTTCACCCCAGTGTCCTACGGCTAATACCCCCCGGGAAGGACGGGCAGGCTGGTTCTCAGCACTGCTTACCCCCCTCCACCGGCCAGGTGTGGCCTGATGTCACCTACCCCCCCCC